TTTCTCTCTTCTTTGTCTATTTTTTCACGGAATTTCCACCCAGGTGTGACGTACCTACCGAAACCACCGGCTATAAATCATTATGTGGCCGTTTCACTAAGATTACGTCCCGTATAGGACTGCTTTCAGAAAGGTGTATGACAGCACTCAGTGGATGCTTACCTGATGGATGAAGTACAATGCAGTATGTGGTGCGGCCCACTCACGCGCATGGATTCCTCCGTCGATCCAGAAAATTCGCTTCGATCGGTCATGGCCGCCGATCTGAAAGTGGACAATGTTAGCTGCATGACCAGACCTCTTGAAAACTCGAGATCAAGGCAGCGCGATGGCTAGAGAAATTGAATGATATGAAGAGGAGAACGTGCGGTAATGAATTCCTGATAACCGCAGCCGTCAGATTGAAAAGGTGTGAAGAAGTGTTTACACGACATTCTGCGAAGACAAAAACAATTTACGAAGGGGAACTTTGTTTATGTGTATTGATTTCTGATTGAACATCGGCTGGCCCCCGCAAGTCATTGTATAGGCCACATCGCATTCAAACGCCACTACGAATGTACAAATGGAAGTAGAATGCGTGCCGCATCCCAAAAAGGGATTGATCAACGGCAAATGCTTTATCCTTTTATTTTATTGATTTCTCAGCTTATATTCTGTACTTAGTATGCAGAAATGGCTCTATACAAGTGGGGTGGGCACGCCCAGCTTTTCACGCATGTCAAGTGACTGCCCTCACCCCCCACCCCCTAGATTGGCTACACTCCCCCTGGCTCACGAATTCCCCGATTCTCGTGACAGTATAGTAGCGGGCAGCAGTCCCACTTACATACATTTCTGTTCAAAAAATGCGGCGTGCCCACCCTACTTGTATAGCACCGCAGTATTTAGCTTGAAGGCAGTGATTGCGATGATTGCAGGACAATACGGTGCTGATGAATACATCGCTCGGCTCTGGTGGAAGAGAGTCAAGAGACGATTCCATGCACACAACTCATGCGCTAAATGGTTTAGTTCACAAATGACGTCATCGAACCCGCACCGCCTTCCAACCATCGCGATCACTGCCTTTAAGTTGCAACTAACAAGAAGGCGTATGCAATTATCTCACGGCTAGGGATGGACAAAAATCTTTCTCTATATTATTCTTTTATTCCAACCAGGTCTGCCTCGTGAAAAGAGTGCATTTTCAAGACAGGTGTGATAAAAAAGTTATTGATTTTGAAGTACTGTGCAGTATGTGGTGCGGCCCACTCATTCACAAACAATAAAACTGGGAAGGAAAATATAAAAAAGCTAACCCGGAAAGTCTAACATGGATGATGAAGAGTTTTTCCTTTCAGGAAATTAAGTAAACTTCATGAACCCACTTCCAAATTATGGTATACGCCCCTATACACATATTCTGAAGTTGAAGCCAAGGCTAACCACTGCGCTAGGGAATGGGAGAAATTTGGAGTACATGAACTATCCGCTTGAACCCCCGCTTCATTTCGGTAGTCCTGGAGTAGTATCTTCTTCCACCTCCGAGGAAAGGCCGATGCCTATGGGAAGGTATTTTCATACAAAATCTCTATCGGCAAAGGTTACGAAATTTTGGACATCTCCGAATTTTTGTGAAGCGCATAACAGTTCTCCCTTCTCATGAAATACTACGCCCATTCCGCGCAAGACAACCCCCTTTCCAAAGTCACGAGTGCGACTCCCATTGCTCAACCCTATCCATCAGAGCGTTCACCTTGGCTGGAAGTAAGAAACTACTGATACCTCACGAAGAGCACATGAAAATGTTTCAGTTGTTTCCATCTTAGAGC